AATGAACATAGTCAACGATAGTAGTCAGGTGATCATTGTCAGGTGAGAGAGGTCAAAGGACCTAGTCAAACTATGATCCGATGATGATGTTATAGTAGTAGTCAAATCATGGTCTGATGATGGTGATTGGTGTTGGAGCTCAAGGAATCTTTAAGCCTTTGAATTCTCTTGGATCTTAAGCTAATGTCTAAGCCCTCTCTCTTGAGCATATATATATATATATATATTAGGCTTGACTATAAGCTAAGAAGCATGCAATATTTGTAGATTATTTAGTCCTCAAATTAATTTCTTAAAGTTTTTAATTTTACTTGAAATGTTTAATTTGGGCTTACTAGAGTCGGATCATATCAATTTTTTATATTCTTGGGTTTGTCTTATTGACACGTTCAATTTGACTATAAAATTCTAAAACCAAAGTTCAAATGGTCCAAGATTTAAATCTAAAAGTTTTCAATTCAAATATGAATCGAGATTCGTGCTCAATTAAGTCAATTTTTGACCATGTATCTTATATATTAGTTAGTGATAAAAGAATACTATTTTATTATGTTTGGCTCTTTTTTTTTTAAAATAAATTTGAATAATTGCTCATGAACACACTACAAGCTTGCTCAAGTTTGCTTACCCCATGTAAGCCATCATCAAAGCTTGTCAGGAAGATGATCGAAGCCACTACAATGAACCTTCTATATATCTAAAGGAAGGTGTTCAACCTCTTAATGAGATCAAGGTCTTTCTGATATAGCTAATTAAAACCTTAAAGCTAATATTTTTTTAATGTTAATCATCTTGGTTACACATAACACAACTTAGTGATCTACACCATTAAGAGCATGATGAAATGATCAATCTCAATGCGCAAATAGAATAATTCTATAAAGATATGAGAAAAAACTTCTTATGACACCTTCAATGTTCCCCATTTGTGCCAATTTGATCTAATATTTAGAATCTTCATAGTTCTAAGATATTGATGATTGATAACCATAGTACCTAATCAATGTGTATCATAAACTTTTTTGGTTTGATGAAATTATGAATGTCTAATCGCAAATCAATAATCACTATCATCAATGTCCAATGTATTGGAACACATTGATTAGTTTCCATAATACTCCTAATTGGGGCTTGTCATGCATGAACCTAATGAGTAAAATTCATAGTTGTTATATGTTGAGACCGACGATTTTCCGAAGTTGTTGGTTGGGACCTAGGCTACGCAAGGAGGCGGGAGCGGCAGTCCCCATCATTATGGATTGTCGCAATGAGTACTTGGATGGTGGCGATGCGGTTCGGTCAGTGGTGAGCGACCATGAATGGTGAGGCTAAGAGATAGAGAGAGATAACAAAGGAGAAGAAGAGGGACCTAGTGTTGGTCTGACAGAGCGAGGAAGAGCATAAGAGAGTCGAGTAGAGTGAAGGAGAGAAAATGACTAGCCGCCCAAATGGGGCATGATGATGGAGTGACAAAATGAGAGAGGAAGAGTGGCGATGAGTCGAATGAAGCAGGGGAGGGAGAGTGGCAGCAAGCATGTCCGATAGGAGAAATTATTACATGCGGTCACCAGATATTATCTGGAGGGCAATAATGACGCGCCACGTCACTTATACACTATGTACCGTTGTGTATCAGGTGACGTGATGCATTTTGATTGACATCCGATAGTCCAGTGACCGCACATAATAATTTCCCGTCGGACAGAGCCAACGGAGTGACGAAGAGAGGGATTTGGGACAACCCGTGAGCTATTTAATGATTAAGGCTTCCTTTGGGACAGCTTTTTCAGAATTTTTAAAAATTATATTTTAGTACAAAAATTTTTAATTTAAAATTTTCTTTTAATATTGAAATCTGTTCTAAATAAAGTCTGAGGCTTCGTTTGGGATTACTTTATTACTGCTTCTTAAAATAATTTTTTAATTCAAAATTTTTAATTTTATAGTAGAAAATTACTTTAAGAAGCATTAAGAAAGTCATCCCAAATATAATCTAAGGCTTCGTTTGGGACGGCTTTTTTATGCTTCTTAATAGAAAAGCCGTTCCAAATGAAACCTAAGTCTTAGTGGAATGTTCAACGAAATTTTCATATTGGGACGGCTATACAAATTTTTTTAATAAAAGGGTTCTTCTGAAATTACTATTGTAAGAACGATGATTTAATTATTTAAATTATAAAAAGTATTTTTTTCATCAATTTTTTTAAAAAATAATGTTAAAGCGGCAAAAAAAAAGTAGAAATTTAAGGCTTTATTTGGGACATCTTTCATATTGCTTTCTAAACAAGCTTTTTAGTATAAATTTTTTAAAAAACAGTAAGAACAAGTTTGCATTAAAAACTATTTTAGAAAAACAGTAAAAAAGCTGTCTCAAACAAAGCATGAGTGAAATTATGATTGTTATATGAAAAAACAAAGCAACAAGAAAGCTGTCTCAAATAGACCCAAGCTTTACGACAAAAAACTCGGCCAATCAATTTGTTTAATGATGATTCCATCATTAATTATCGATGATAAAATTCCCTCATGTAGCAAAAATTTGTTTTCTAGAAAAATAAATTATAAAGTATTATTGTTGCGGGTTGGAACATTTGCGGCGGTATAGAGATATAAAGTTAAACGTCATAGTTTTGTAGGAAGATCAAGCCCATAGAAGGTTATAACATGCCATAAGAGATCCTAGAATTTTTATGTGAAAAATCTTGAAAGAGTGGCATGCCCCGTACATACGGAGAAGGTTTAGGATAAATTCAGAGTGCTCTATCGGACGGCCCATATTGATTCTATTAATCATAGAGCATTCATCAAGCATTTAAGTACTTTAATAATGTTGGAAATAAGTGATCTTAAGCTCGTTGGATTCGTCTCGCCGAGCTAGTCGATTTGACTATAAGCATTGATCATCTAATTTCTGCTTTGAACCTTCCGAATGTTCTTCAATCCCTTGATTTGAGCTCATTCGGGCGGTTCGGATTGGATTGATTTTGGTGTCGTTGAGTTCGTCTCTTTGAGATATTCAATTTGATTATAAGTTTGCTTAAATTGGAGCTTAGATGATCCCAAATTTAATTTTGAAAATTTCCAACTCGAATATACCTCGAGATTTATGCTCGAATGTATCAAATATAATTAATATTTAATTTTTCTAGCATCTGTTAAGTTAGATAATGAGCAAGCCCAATTAAATAACAAATACAAGATTTGGTAGATCATACAATTTTTTTTTAATAGCTAAATCTATCGGATCAGGGCTTTAATGCTTCCAAATCAGTCAATTCGAGTGCAAGCTACCCCAATCATCTCTCTTTAACTTTTTTTTGCATGTAATCAAATTCCACACATAGCAAGTGAATTACTATGGTGATATAGTTATCATCTTTTCCATTAGTAAAGTCCATGGCTCATCGAGTTAACCCCCTTAGCTCACCATAATACAAATAGAATGTCATCCCCTCAAATCGTAGAATGATTATTACATGCGGAGTATAGACACAGAGAACAATTATGCTTTCTGACTGTGAATAGTAAAAACACAATGGTGAACAGTAATTGTGCTTTTGCTGTTCACAGTCACACAACCAAACGGTTCTCCGCATTCGGACTCCGCACTTAATAATCTCTCCCAATCATGCCAGTATGTTATCATTATGATACAATCTATTTCTAAAAGATTAGAACTTCTCACAACAACTAAGGTTTTGTTTTGGATAGCTTTCTTACTGTGTTTTAAAGCACATTTTTAGTTGAAAAATTTCTTAAAAACAATAAAAAATTAATGGACAAAATCTATCCCAAACGAAGCCTAAGTGTTATCTTCATTTGTTCAATTTATGCCCACTTATCTATCTTCACATCATTGATAACAATCATTGTCACAAAAATAAATCTAATTACCAATTCAATCTATAAAGCTTTTAAGGTTAGTATGATTCTTGATTATTTTATAGAAGCTTTTAATTTAAATTATTTTCGTTGTGGTTAGTTAATTATTTAATTAGTTACCAATATGCTAACAATTTATTAAATAAATTAGATATAAATATGTTAATTACAATTTAAATTAATCTTAAAAAACTATTATTAAATAATAAAAATATTATTTAAAAATAGTAATACTTCTAGCCTAATTAAAATTTAATTTACTTATTCAATATTGTATTAAATTAGTTAATAATCAATTTAAATGTTATTTATACTAATTATGATTTCAAACAATGAGATCATATATATATATATATAAATTTATTTTTAATTATTAATATTTAAATTCCAGTCTCCCACATCTTTGTCATCGCCACTGTTGTCGATAGCCACAATCGCTTTCACCCTTGACTCTCCATTGGCCATCGCTCATTAGCCACTGTTATCGCCTCCCCGCTGCTCATTGTCTCAACATCATTGTCGTTGCCACCGACCGCCTCTCGTTGTTGGTTGTCACCCATAATCATCATCCGTCATCCACTGACCACCATCATTATTAGTCTTTACATTACATTCATTTGACTATATTTTACACTCATCTAAATAATTTTAAATATATCATTTTTCTTGTACATTATATTCCATTTTATTTTACATTCCTTTTTGATCCAACCAAGTAGCTTTTTAACCAAATACAATCACTTTCATAATTTTCAGAATTTATAACCAAACAGCTTCTTAATAGTTCAAAAACAATCCTTCTTTCGATTCAATTACATACATGCTCCAGCGCAACACTACAACCAAGAACACAACTCACGTTGGCTTGTTGGTTGAGAGCTTATACTTCCAACTAAGAAGTCTTGGATTCCAGTCTTTCTGTATGCGTTGTGTGTGAATTTGCCTTAAATGACCTAAATGTAAAAAAAAAAAAAACACTACAATCAAGAAAACTTGTCAGATTCTTCAACTCTCCAACAATTAAAATTGAACAGGCCGATATAACTCAACAACTTTTGCTTGCAGTCTAAATAAAAGCACTTTACAGAAAAATTGACTACAGAACTTAAAATCATGCTAAAAAGCAGTAAGGGGCCACTTGGTGTGTACAGGCTCTCACTTTGGACTCCCACCTAATCGAAGTACAGTACCACTAATGGCTCCAGCAAAGTACTCATGACTTTGTGGGAGATGGGCAGTTGAATGCCGTGAGCGCTCCACTTCAAAACTTGTCAAAAGCCTTCTTCAAATAGTCTCTCCTCTTCTCTTATTCCCTCTTCACCTCAAGGACTTAGAAGAGCTTCAGGTATGCAAGCCTTTCTTATCTAGGTTCTAGATTTCTTAAACTACATGGGTGTCGGAAAAAGGAGCTTCCTTTGCTTTAAAATGTTAGATCTTGTTCTGCGATTTGATTTTGTTGGGGGTTTTAGGTGGCTGTTTTGGCTTTCTTTGTAGCCTTAGTGGATGGGTTTTGTTCGGAATGCAAAAAGGTTAGATTTTGATGTGGGGCGACAGGTTTTTTGACATTTTATGATTGTGGTGGTCGATGTTGGGGAAAGCTAGGGTTTTTCTTGCTTCCTTTCTTGTCTAAGAAGAGCACTTGCCGTTTGATTAAGCTTGTTCCAGGGTGCTGATGTTCTTAATGTTGCACTGAAGCTGTAACTGTTCATAGATGTCGATTTGGCCTTATAATGACCATGCTGTTTACTGAATTTATATAATGCTTGGTGAAAATAAATGCAGTGATTTCCTCAAATAGAAGGATTTTGTTTGATTGTTTGAGCGCTTGTTGTGAAGCTCCTTTCCTCATGATGAGGCAATCATCAAGCAGGAATCAAAGATACAAGGGGGGTTTTAGATTTAGACATTTCCTTCAGATATGCCTCTTGCTTGCTATATGCATTTGGCTGGTGTACCAGGTCAAGCACTCTCATGACAAGAAAAGAGCTTTTGTAGAGAGGAAAGAAGTTGAAGATCAGGCTTTTTCCTTTCGGTTTGGCAGGAAGGACCTTCCATCAGTCAAGAGGGATGAACTGATGAGAGAGACCCGCGATGTCGATGAAGATGAGTTCCAAGAGCTGGAAATGAAGAAGGAAGATGCCCGAGATGAAGAAGGGGGAGGCGATGTCGATGATTGGATTGATGAGCAAGATCGAGAACAGCGAGGTGACGAAAACGAGCTAGAAATCGAGTTGAAAAATGAAGAAGAGAATGGAAGTCTTGTGGGGGAAGCCAACTCAGTTGATCGCCTGGAACATGTGGATAATTTGACTGAAACAGAGGCAGAACATGCAGATGCAAGAGGTTTGGATGAAGAGAAACCAAACAATATGGATGCAAATCTGAAGGGAAGTTCAACCAATGTATCTGTTGATGTTTCTAATAAGATTTACAATAGTACAAACAATGGGGATTTGAATGGTTTTGTAGGCAATCATAGTAATATTGGCTTGAGAGGAAATGCTACTTTTCATGAAGCTGGTAATCATTCTATGAATGGGACTTCATCAGAGAAAAGTGAATCAGTTTTTGGAGTTTCCAAATATGAAAATGATTCCAACTCAAGTCCAATATCTGTTGAAGAGAGCAATCCCAATTTGTTGCTTACAAATTCAACAACAATAAGATTACCTATGGTTACAACTATTTCCACAACAAATCTGTCTGAAAGTCTTATGGAAAATCGAAACCTTTCCGCAATTGCGAATTCGCCGTCTTACAAAGAGATTATAGTGAATGAAACTGCGAGCTTGATGGTAGTTAGTCAAAAGCAGACCATTCAGAATGCAACTATAGGGGAAAACCATGCTAAATCAAAAGACTTGGTGGTTGAATTTGATCATCATCTCAAGTCGAAGATAAATGAAGAACAAGAATCAGATGATCAGTTTGCGACCATATCTTTCAACAAGAATGAGATTAGTCTGTCTCAAACTACTCTAACAGAAGAAGAGAGGGAGGCTCGCACTGACCTGTCGACATTACCAGAAATCCATAATGATATAAGGCATGATTATGAGGAAACTGAACAGTAATGGCATGTTCTCATCAAACTGAGCCATCTTTTGTAACAAAACTAGTCATGTAGCTAAGAATCCTCTTAAAGTCTCTGTAATATTTTTCATAGTTTTGTAATCAATGAGATTCTATGTTTGGAAAGATAATTTTTTTTCTTATTGACACTTTAATATTAATTTTATCCATTAGACAAATAGAGGTGTTTTTTATGCATTATTATATACAAATATTTTTCTTTTTGTATGGAGGCTAGTCCAACCAACTGCCCTTTCAATATAATTTGAAGATAAGCTACCACTTTAAAAAGGTATTTGTATCCATTTCCAAAATCTTCAGGTCCTTGAAAGCACCCACATAAACATATTACAATATTAGCTGATTTAATAAAAATAAATTTGAAATTATATTTAATATATTGGCCAATTGTAATAGTGCAAGCTCTCTAAACCATTAATATATTATCAGCTTTGACTTAATGACCTGATGATTTTATCCGCTTGGTTTAACTTCCCAGGAGATCATTTATATTAGGAGTACTCTCGTACAAGTGCGTTCGACTTTGAAGTTTTTAATGAAATTTCGTCCATTACATAAAAAAAAAATCTTGATGTTTAAGGATTTAATTTCATTTAACTCAAGAAGTTTCACACTAATAATATAAAAAAAAATTCATAATTTAATTTTCTTACAAATAAGGGAATTTAGCCTATATATATCCATGTATGAGTATGTGATAATATGCTTGTTTAAATTTGTATCTATGAAGTACCATAAGTTAATAATTGTAAATTCTAATTATATTGATTTGAATATTAATATTTAAGTGTATATGTGTTTTTTTTTTCAATTGTTGCGGTGTGTCTTAATTAGTAGAGATTATTATGTGTAGATTTCGTTCCGGATTTTGCGAGGGTACACATTAAATACATAGTACATACACAGCAAAAAATAAAATTGTATATTTGTTGTGTATTTACTATGTAACCTCACAAAATCCAGACGTTTCTCTGTTTGGACTTCGCACATAATAATTTCTCATGTTTTAGGGGGAGTTGAAGTTAGGGTAGATATATTAATAATTAAATTTATTTTTAACTCAAACGTTTACTACTATAAATGAGAGTCAATGATATTTCAACGTCAACATATCGATATATGATTGAATTATCTGATGTCATATAACACAATAGAAGGTTGCTAAAATTTATGGAAACTACGAAGTGTTAGATCCTAGCCAAATCATGATATCACTTGTTAGAAATTGTGTTCCAAGTAGGTCTGAAGTTAGGTTAAATATATTAATGTTCAAATCTATTTTGAACTAAAAATATTAATCTCATGGGTAAATACCAACAACCACTTAGTATTTCAACATTGACATATATTTTAAGTAGTTCATTATGATGAAAAAACTTAAAAAATTTATAATGTTTGTTTGTTACAAATAGTTTATCATAATTTTTTTGGCTCATACTTGCATAATAAACATAGAAGAGAAGTTTTTAAAATGAAAATCAAGTTGAGTGTACTTTTTTAGTATGATTGTTTGTTTTTCTTCTTATCTTGAAAGAGACATGTACAATAATGTCTTTTGACATGATTAAACATATTGTAGTGATAACAATGACATCAAACTTCAGTTGATAGTCATATAAATGTGATGGCTAACATCATTTGATGCTATTCTTGGCAATAAAAATTGAAATGTTGGTCATGACATAGTGATGATAATAAGGCTTTGTTTTTAGCTGTTTAAACTCTTTTATTTTTTCCTTTCAGAAGCTTTTTTCTCAATCACTGTTTCAAAAATGATTTTTTTTAAGCGGCTTTTTAAAAGCAAAACTTTAAAATAGTGGGAAAAACTATCTTTCAAACACACTAATTTTTCTTAACAGGAAAGCTATTAAAATGATGTTTCAAACAAAGACTAAATTTGATAGCGGTGATGGAGAAGTAAGGGTAGAGAGAGAGTGTGGAAAACTTAAAAGCAATGTCTTTGAAAATGCAGTTATGACAAATTAACGTGTGATAGCTACAACAAGCCCAAATGCATGACAGCAAACCTAAAGAGGTTATTGTGTCATACTTGAGGATTGTTGTTATAATATGCCTAAAAGTGTTAACAAATCTATAGGTATTGGTTGTCATTGACCCCAATGTTGTAGCTGCACAACCCAAGGGATTGGTACCTATTGTTGACCTAAAGATCAAGATAGTGCAAATTTGAGTGCAATTATTGTGAGCCCAAGGGTGGGGGATCGGATATATTTAAGGGCTAGGACATTATATAACTTAAGGAGGGGACTATGGCATGATTTGAGGTGTCTATAATAGTCGGGTTAGTGATAATGATTGAATAGTGGCTTTTTGGGTGGCTCACCAAAAATAAAAGTGCCCACGACAACATAGCTCTATGGATGATGTCTATTCAACAACTACAGTGGAGTGTTGTCATGTTTATAGGCTATAATAACTACTCCAAGCAATAGTTAACATAGGTGATGGTGATATCTAAATTTTTCAAAAGCTCTATAAAAATCATGTTCCCAATGTAATGAATTGGGCTTATTTCTAGAGTTGGCCAATTTTTGACTTAGGTATATTCTTTCCCTTTTTTTTTTGTGTTTGGGAAATTTAGGGGCAACACCCATTTTCAATAACAAAAATTAGTTATAAGTGAAAGAAATTTTGCAACTTGAGTAAGAAAGAAACAAAAAACAGTCAATAAGCTGCAACTAGAAAACAAGTAGCTTGTTCCAACAATAGGGCTTAGAAGATAGGAAAAAATAACATAAGAGAAAAAAAGAGACTCATAATGGGCAAAACTACATCAACATCAACAAAAATTTACTAAGAAAGGATGCTCCCTTGGTTGTCTGGAATGACCATTCAAAACATAGAAGCTAGTTGCTGAAGCGTCCATCCAAAAAACCAAAAGCCTAATGTAAACCATTCATCATTGACTATAGATGGTCGCAAATAATCACTAGAATTGAAGAAGGTATCAGGTAAACATGTCAGCCACAAAAATCAAAGAGATACCACCTAATAAACAAAATGCTCTAATAGACAACCAGAAGTAGTTGGGGAACATGTCAAAGCAACTGGAGAACATACCACTAAATGAAATACCATCAATCCATAACCATTCAAGAATAACAGGAAGAAAGCTCAGCAGCTAATTAGCACAGGCCTTAATACCCCATAAATTGCATCCTTATGAAATGATGGCATGGGTTTAATAAGTCTTTCCTAGAGATAACTTGACTAGCTTACTCAAATCAAGCTAACTAAAAAATCATTAGCTTATGATTGATAAAGTATTCAATAATGTTTAATATGTGATTGTCTAGGTGGCATGCATATTTAGAAGAATCTATTCAATAATATTTTTAATACATTATTGATATTTAATGAGAGCTTAGAGATAGTTTAAAAACATGGTTAGAACTTACAATGTTACATAGAAGAAAAGATTCAAATTTATAGTATTACATAATAGGAATATACTAAAAACTAAAATAAAATACAATTTAAATTTAAATTATAAAATTGTTATCTTAAAATAAATGAAGAATTTGAAGATGTAAGATGGATATGCAACAAATTTAAGTAAATATATTTATTCTACATAGACAAAATTATTTAGAATGAAAAGTCATGATCGTTATATCTTCATGCAGCTCTTGTTACCAATTATTCTCTAAATCAATTGAACCCCAAAATTAGCCAACATTTTAAAGATATTTAACTATAAGCATAATTAAGAATATTTTATGCAAATGAGAGATTATTTCCTCTAGATTTTATTTATTTGATAGAACAAATATTTTGGTTAATAATATTTTTAGTCAAATATTCAATTCAACATTAAAAAAAAAATTAAAAAAAAAAAATTCAATATGACAAAAGTTGCTCATTATCAAGCCAATATTAGTTGTAGGCCTATCTGCCCTAATTGCTATCATGCCAACACAACCAAAGAGCATAGATAGCAGGCTATTTATGGAGCCCATAAGAAAGATATTAACATATTTTCTTCTTTAGTTTGATTATATCGGTTTATGATTAAATTTTATTAATTAGCTTATAATTTATCTATTTATTGGTTTAATCCTTATGTGGCTTACAGATACTGAATTAAAAAAAAAAAATTAATAGAAACCCTGTATAATGTACAATAGAAGCTTAATTGTCGCATTGTAGAAAGACTTAATTGGATTGGTGAGCAAATTTCGGGAGACTTAAAGTTTCGTTTGGACGCTTTCTCTTACTGCTTCTTATAAAACAACTTCTTAATACAAAAGTTAACAATTTTTGTACTCGAAACAGCTTTAAGAAGCAGTAAAAAAAGTCATCCCAAGCTTCATTTGGGATAGCATTCTTATTACTTTTAAATCAGCTTTTATTATGAAAATTTTACTAAAAATCTACTTTAGAAAGGCAATAAAAAGGCTATCTCAAATAAAACCTTATTTGTTGTATATAAGTTTAACAAATACAGTAAAAGAGCGAGCAAAAGAAGATAAAATTGGGATATATATATATATATATATATATATATATATATATATATATATATATATATATATATATATATATATATTTTATATAAATATATATATATAGGGTTTAGGGTGAGAGAGAGAAGAATAGTGATGAGAAAGTGGAAACAATGTTGTATAAAATTATTATTTAAACTCTCTTGATAAATTTTCAGTTACTATTTACATGAGTTTATACTTTGATTTGCTTATGGTTTAATTAAGAAGATTTTCATTTATATGATTTAGTTAGACCATCTCCAACCGTCCGACAAACAACCGAATGGAGGCCATCAAACGTCGCAAAAGAACGTCTTTTCCTCCGCCATTTGATCGCGGATGAACAGTGCGACGCCAATATTGGCGTCGCACTGTTCATCTGCGCCATTTTTTCGTGTCTACCGAACATGCGGAAGAAAGACGCGAAAGAAGAGAGCGACAGTTAGGGGGTAAAATGACGTTCGATTGGAGACAAATCACGACACTTTTTGGTTTTACTGTATTTTGGAGTGAAAAATGAGATTTTCGGTTGGAGAAGCTCTTATTGTTATAATGTATGTTGTTTTCTTTATTAGTCGCCTCTATTATTATTTATTTGTTACCTAAATTAGTATTAATTTGGAACAACTTTTTTATT